TGGGTCCATGGCAGCGGTGCCACCACCCTTGGGCTCTGGCTGAAAGCTGGTTTCTGCCAGAAGTGAATTCAGGCTGCTCTCACCACCCTGCAGCTGCAGGTTCTGGTGGGTTCTGCAAGCTCGAGGGTGAGGTGGGGGTCGCAGAGTCTGAGAGGTAATTAAGGATCGGGCAAATGAGCGAATGTGCTGGGGAACCAGAGAGTAATGAACAAGGGAAAAAGCAAGTGTGTGACCGAGTAGATGAATGAATGGTGTCGGATAGGAGGACCAGACAGCCTCCCAGTGAGCTCTGTGTGCTGGCTGACCAGCTGCGTGGACGTTCAGACATTATGTAGGGCCGGGCCCCACAGCTGGTACAGATGGAAATGAGTCTTGTGGCCTGAGGACCTGGACCAACGCGAGGGCCCAGAGCTTATCCTGGGTGCTTCGCGTTGATTTCTGAGTTGTCCTTTGGCACAGAACACATCACTGCGGGGAAGGTGAAGATGGCAGCGTATTTCTATCTAAGTGCGCCCTGCACCTGGAGTTGTTGGCGGGGGGCTTCTGGGGCTGGAGGTGTGCAGGCAGCATGGGCACAGGGCTGGTCAGGGGGAGGACCTGGACATCTAGACCTCACCCCTTCCATGTTTGGCCAGTCTGGATTAAAGCTGTAAGAGGGGTCTGGGACCTCTCCAGCCAACCTCAGCCCAGGCAGGAGCGGACTGGGAGGGGCTGTGCCTGATACCCGGCTCTCCGCAGCCCCAGGATTCCAGTCTGTGTGTCCCCTGTGTGTTCTGGTAGGAGAGACCCATCCCCAGGCAGCCCCCACCCGGGGTCGTGCCCAGTCCTGGTCAGGCACTAAGGTGTGCCCCTCAGCGTTTATTGACCACCTCCCTAGGCCCGCTGGCCCCAGCCTGTGCCCCTCACTGGGACAGGACACCGGCCAGGCAGTCCCTCCCTCTGGACCACATCTGAACTTGGGAGAAGGGGTGTTAACACAGTGCCACAGCTAGATGGGCAGCCAGGTAGTCTGTGCTTTCAGGCACCCAACCAAGTCCTAACTGATGTTGGGGGGGTCGGGGGGCTGTGATCTCTGCTCCCTGTTGGCCTGATGGGGGCCCTGGCTGTCATGCAGCCCAGTTCACGTGAATCACGTCTCTCTCTTGTTTCCATTCTCTCTGTGTGTACATTCTGTTGGCTTCGTCTTCACTTTGACCAGACTGGGCCCTGTCTCCGGCACGGCCTTTGCCCACTGCGTTCTCCACACTGGCCGGATGTGACAGGCAGGCAGGCCATGGGGAGCTCCGCCTCCTCGCTGGCCGCCGAGACCGAGTCGGACCACGGCTTCCCAGGGGGGCCGCCCTACCCAGGGGGCCCTGTCTGGGGAGGCGCCCTGGTCACCCGGCAGCACATGCCCCCGAGGCCCCGGGCCCGAAGGTAAGAATGTGGGGAGGGGCCTTTGGAAAGCAGGTCACTGGTGATCTTGTCCCCATGGATGTGTGGGCCCAGGGGCTTGCTTGTCACTGGTCTCCTGAGGGGCCAGGGCCTGGGGAATGTGGGGTGCTCGTGCTGCTGGGGAGCCAGTTTGCGCATGACGGGGCGCTTGGCTGCTTTGGGAGCTTCTTGGGGGAGGAAGCTGCTCTGTTCTGGGTGGGCCGCCCGCTGCGTTCACCAAGAGCTATGTCCGTCTTCCTGAAGGATTTCAGCTTCAAACCAGTTCAAAACTCCTCAGTCAGGCCTGGAAACCAGAGTAGCATATATGTTGCATAGCAACCCAGTGTCTTGCATGTAAGCTTTTGACCCAAGTGGGCAGTAGGCATTGCCGTCCAAGATGGCAGACAGCAGTATTCTAAGTTAGCACAGTCAGCTGCTGTCAGGATCTCTGGTTGTCAGCTGTAACTGAACGATTTGAATGCGTTCAAAACCCTGGACTTCAGCAGTGGGGAAGGGTCTGCTGAAACGGCCCATTGTCCCTCCCTGTCTGTGTATCCAGGCATCGGGGGGCTGCATCCATCATACCCTACACGTTGGGTGCCCTCCAGGTCTGAGGTAGTGGCTGGGTCCTCCTGCCCTCCGTTCGTTGAAGGAAGGGGCTCCTTGTAGACTCTGGGAGAACGTTGTTGTTGTTGTTGTGTGCCATCGAGTCGGTTCCGACCCATAGCGACCCTGTATAGGGTTTCCGAGGGTGTAAATCTTTACGGGAGTAGAAAGCCTCATCTTTCTCCCGCGGAGCAGCTGGTAGTTTCGAACCGCTGACCTTAAGGTTCGCAGCCCGATTCGTAACCACTACGCTACCAGAGCTCCTTGGAGAACGTTAGGGTTAGCATTTATGTAGAGTCCTGATGTGGCACTGCGGGATAAAGCACTGGACCACAAGGTCAGCAGTTCAAACTCACCAGCTGCCCTTTGTTAGGAGCTGGAAGCAACAGTAGCAGCAGGTGTTCGGTGAGGGCTGCTGCGTGGCTGCCGACTCCCACAGGCCCCACGGGACCCAGTGACCACCATGTGTGCGCCTCTAATGGCTTTGTGGGGACAGCATGTGCTTGTCAGCCATCAGTGTCGGGGTGCAGTAACTAGAGCTGAGTGGGAACACCTCACAAAAATGGATCCCATCTGGGTTACCAAAGGTAGACACTCGGGCCACCGTCACCTGCTGGTTGTGAGGGTTGCTCCAATGAGCATTGGTACCCTTGAGTCATGGCTGCGAGCAGAGTTGCTGAGTTTCCTGTGGGGTTGTACTGTGTTCCCATAGCACTGGGCAGGATTCTGTTCTCTCCATCCTTGTCGGCACTTGGGATTGTCTGTCTGGGGCTCGCCATCCTCATGGTATAAGGAGAATCCTTGCTAGGATACAGTGCTGGCGACTTCTGCTTCTGCGTGCTCAAATCTGCATCCTCACTCTGCGTGCTCACTCTGCGTGCTCCCTTCTGTGTGCCTACTCCTGTGTGCTCCCTTCCGTGTGCTCCCTCCGTGATCTCTGTGTGCTCC